CGGCATGGTCAGCCGGGCATCTAGTGGGAGGGCTGAGCTGGGGCAGGCAGAGGTGGGCGCCTGGGCAGACGGCTTGATCTCGCCGGGCCGTGCATGCCTCAAAGTAGCCCTGGCTCCCTCTCTGCCTACCCCTGAGGGCCAGGCTGGTCTCTGTTGCCCTTGACCTCTTCATTCAGGGTGCCTGGCTGGGGACTGTGGGCTTGGGGAGCAGTAGCACCCCCTTTCAGCACCTTGACAACCGCCCCCTTTCTCCTGGGTCTCGGTGGGCGAGCTGGGGCCAGGCTCCCGGAGCTCCCTGTGGTCCGCAGGGCAGAGGAGGCCTGTGGGCACCCCGCCCCCACCGGTGAGGTGTTTTCGCTAGAATCACAGCAGCTGCGGCTGGAGGCCTCTTCCCAGGAAGAGGGAGCCCAGCGCCTTTTCCAAGAACTCCGAGGAGGTGGGGGGGGGGGGGGAGTTAATTTTAAACCAGCCTTCACCGCTTCTCAGGAACTGGTTGCTCAACATGATCTTGCAGGTCCCGGGCAGTGGCAGGCACGGTGCCAGCTCAGAAGTGGTGGGCGTGGAGGGCACGCCCCACAGGGGGAGCCCGGTGACCTTGAGGGGGTAGGGCCTTGTCCTTGTCCACGAATCAGCGCCTGTCACCTCCGACTCCCACCGACCCAACCGGACTTGCTGGGGTGTGGGGTGGGGTGAATTCCTCTGTCCCAACCAGGTAAGTGACATTATCACAAGATGAATAAGCCCGGTGGCGGGCCCTCCAAGGGCCCCAGACTGACTGCCCCGGCCCCACTGTCCTGCCCAGAATCTGCCACTCCTGTCCCCTGGCCTGCCCCTCGGAGGTTGTCTGATGAAGGCCTGCTCTGAGGCCAGAGTCAGGCCTGTGCCATTAACCCGTGGGTGGGACCCTCGGGATCAGGCCAGCGGGGGTGGGGGAGGTGGAGGGGGGACCCAGGCAAGCTGGCCGAAGCTCTGGGCCCAAGGAGGGAGGTGGCCTCGCTGGGCCTGCCCCGAAGCTGCCGGAGGCAGAGTGCCTTCGTGTACACTGATCTGCTGTCCCTCCCCAGTGTGGCCACCCCTCCCAGCTGACAGCTGGGCCCGCCTCCCAGTGTCAGGTCCCTGAAGAGGCTCCTCCCAGGATACCCCCCTCCTCTACCTCCACCAGCTGCCCAATGAGACCCCAGAAGCCTGGGCTGGCGAGGCCTGTGTTCTAGGAAAGAATCCTGAGCGGCGACTGCCAGGAGCCCAAGTTCTTGGAATCGGCGCCGCAGGGAGAGGGGACGCTTCTTGGAACTCGCAGGCCACTCTGGGGAGAGAGGCTCAGAGGACGGGCACTGACCTGGTGGAGAGGGAGGGGGTTCTAACGCCTCAGCTTGGGTCGCTACCTCCAGGAAGCCCTCCTGGACTTCAGGTGCCTCCTTAGACACCCCCATCTCGGCAGCGAGTCTGCTGGGTCCTTCTAAGGGCTCTGCCAGCACAGGCCCAGGTCTGGCACGGCTCCTGCGGTTCCCAGCGTCCAGCCGAGGGGCAGGCACAGCGTGGACAGCCAGAAACAGTAGGGGTACAGGCGGCACCTGTGCCCGGGGGAGGGCAGCGTGGGTGTGGGCACGCAGGGGGAACAGGGATGTGGGGCACAAGTTTACCTCCCGGGCGGGGAAGGCGTGGGGAGAAGGGGGCTGGCTCAGTGGGTCAGCAGTGCCGGCTGCTCACCCAGGGCCCTCGCTGGTGGAGGCAGCCTCTGGCCGGGACCCCTTTTCCTCGGCCTCAGCGTGAGGCCACCCAGTGTGCAGCCTTGAGCACGCACCTGGCCTGCTGGGGCCTCAGTTTCCCCGTCGGGAGAATGGAGAGGAGGAGGGCTGTGAGGGGTGTGAGCGGTTCCAGAGCCAGGCCGCCTGTGTGACGAGCCAGTCACACATCCCCTCGGAGCCACGCTCTGAAGTGGGGACACTGCGATCACCCACCTTCCGGAATCACGGAGAGGAGTCCATGTGTAGATTTGGCGATTTTCTTTTCCCCTTGGGGTCTCCTCCCAGCCCACCCTCCAGCCCCCTCCTGCCCAGGGGTCCCTGTAGACACAGCCCCACTTTCCCTCTGGCCCTCGGAGAAGCGAGAAGTGCCCGCGGCTCTGCCCACAGGCGCGCAGGCCCGATATTCGCAGTGCCCCAGGCGCAGGACAAACGGAGGCCCGCGTTACAGGACCGAGACATTTAAAGATTATAAATCAAGCTACAGACTGCTAATGAAATATGTGCTGGCTTCCTCCTCAACAAATGAACTTTCACAACAATAGAAACCCATAAATCTGTGATTTTTATATGTCTGACAGTCATAAAAATATAAGAGAAAGTCAAATATCAAAAATGATGGAACTTGATTATTGCTCAGGCCCAGGTGTTCAGTGATGTTCGGTAAGAAATAAAGATGGGCTCTGGCCGGTTTGGCTCAGTGGATGGAGCGTCGGCCTGCAGACTGAGGGGTCCCGGGTTCGATTCTGGTCAGGGGCATGTGCCTTGGTTGCCGGTACATCCCCGATGGGGAGTGTGCAGGAGGCAGCTGGTCGATGTTTCTGGCTCTCTGTCCCTCTCCCTTTCTCTCTGTAAAAAATCAATAAAATATACAAAAAAAGAAAAAAAAGAAAAAAGAAAAGAAATAAAGATGGACCCGGCTGGCGTGGCTCAGTGGTTGAGCATCTACCTATGAACCAGGAGGTCACGGTTCGATTCCAGTTCCGGGCACATGCCAGGTTGCAGGCTCAATCCCCAGTGGGGGGTGTGCAGGAGGCAGCCAATCAATGATTCTCTCCCATCACTGATGTTTCTATCTCTCTCCCTCTCCCTTCCCCTCTGAAATCAATAAAAATATATTTTTAAAAAGATAGAAAGAAAGACATGCCTAATACATAAAGTATTATATATTTATTCTGTAATATTTACTGTTCTCACTTTTATTCCAGTAAAACTATTATTATGTTGTTATAATCAAGATTTTCACATCATTACTATTGTATTGACAGTACTGATTTAAAAGACTCAAATAAGATATTATATTCAAAGATCACAAAATAAAAATTAAATCTAATTTACTATATTAAAATGTAAACGTATTGAAAACATATTTCAAAAATTGATTGTTAAAATATTCAAAATTAGTAAAATTAAAAAGCAACATACTAACTCTAAGTTATAACAAACTAAGGTCAAATTCAAAAGATGTGATATTAAAACTTTAACTTGTTGAAATTTTTATTAACGGTTAGATATTTTTATAGAAATAAAACCTTCTCAGTTCACATTCAAATCCTCTGGGACCTTTGAGGCGAGCTCACAGCTTCCCCGCATGGCCCTGGGGCCGAATGGTGTCATCACAAGTGCGTGTTGGGGTTTGTCTGACGCTGTGCCAGCGGAGTGTCACCTCCCCAGGGATGGGGATGCCCTGCGTTCTTTGGCCCATTTACTGTGAATTGATGGTGTGTTTGCGATGCATTCCCCAGAGCAGGCCCCAGGCAGCGAAGAAGAGTACTGACAGCCCAGGCACAAGTCCCAGCAAATGACACTGGAACAATCTGGAAAAAAATAAAGTCCAATGTCTTCCTCACACAGGCAACGGCCGTAACTTCGAGATGGACTAAATATTAAAACACTAGAAGCCCAGTGCAACATTCGTGCACTGGGGGGGTACGGGGGGGGGGGGGGACTCAGCCTGACCTACACCCTTTTGCAGTCTGGGAGCCCTTAGTGCTGCTGCTACTGCCACTGTACTTGCCAGCTGTGAGCCCGGCTTCTGGCTGAGCGGCGCTCCCTCTGTGGGAGTACACTGACCACCAGGGGGGCAGCTCCTGTGTTGAGCGTCTGCCCCCTGGTGGTCAGTGCGCGTCATAGCAACTGGTCGTTCCGCCGTTCAGTTGATTTGCATATTAGCCTTTTATTACATAGGATGATAAATGAGCCCTAGGAGTCCTGTAGCTCACCTCCCCGGGCGGCAACCTTTCTTCCTCCCCGCGCCTCCCCTGCATGATTTGCCGGGCAGGTCTGGAGAAAGGAGCGTCACCTCAGAAATCCACTGGGTGTCCTCTCCCCGTCTTGGGGGTTCCCCAGAAGCAGACTCTGGGACAAGGATCCGAATAGGACGGCTCATTTGGGAGGTAATGCTGAGACAGGGTTCTCTCCCACGGACTGCCCTTGTTCCAAACAGTCCTTTAAGGGCGATTATCATAATGAGCAGCCTTAGAAGACAGAAATGACGTCTGCCTCCAGGGCAAAGGGCAGTTTATTTATTGTCCAGTTTAATGAAGGCGGGGCAGGTTTGCTTGTAGCCTGTCGTAAAAGATGTGGGTTCCCTTAGCTCGGTTCCTCTCCGTAACGCCACCCTCTCCAAGTACAAGCACCCTCTGGCCCTTATTGAGTCACCCTGTGGGAACTGGGGTTCGGGATGTGGTGCAAGAAAATGCTGACCCTCCGCGCACGGCTGCTGCTGTGAACAATAGACTGATCTTTGTTTCTGAGCCGGGAGTCTTGTGTCTTCTGCACGCCCTTGGGGAGAAGGCAGGCTCACCCGTCAGCTTGCAGGTTGAGTAAAATCTCAGCACCTGCCCGAGGGGAGAGGGACAGTGAGACGGAAGGAAATGAAGCCAAAGCAGGTGTGTTTGCAGTGGGTCCCCTCGGTGGGCAACTGAGGCTGGGCCATCAGTTGAGAGACGGCACAGAACGTACCTCAGGGCTGTCCCGCCAAGGGGTGAGGAAGCTGGGGGGGTGTCCGCCCACTCCCCCCGCCCCCGGCACTGGCCCAGGGCTGCTCCCAGGGGTGAGCTCCGTGGCGCCGTGGGCCCCTGCAGCAGAGAAAGGCAGGCTGAGCATCACCGCTGCTGCGCAGGGACTGCCGGGCAAGGGGTGTGAGCTGCTTGGAACTCACCGAGCTCTGTGGGTCCCGGGGGAGCAGGGCCTTACCTGTCCCCGGTGTCTGGCAAAATGCCACGCAGACAGTGCTCAAAGGCAGGCCACATGGCCCAGGACAAGGCCTGTTTACTCGCCTCTCTCCTCCACGGGCCTGAGCTGCTGATGGGCCGGGTCTGTGTCAATGTCTCCTTCCTACGCCGGCAGCAGAGGGCAGGCCTGGCGACCAGCGAGTGCTCAGTAGAGGATTGCGGCAGGAATGATGCACACAAACAGGCTTCTAAAATAAACGAAGAGGACTCTGTCCGCCAGGACTGACGGCCACCCTGAACTAGAGAAAGGCTGTCGCCTCAAACCCACAGCCGCGCCCTCAGAGAGGCACCCAGGCTCCCTCCGTACGCAGGAAGCAAGATACAAGCGCTCTAGCATCACCGGTTTTCAATCGTACAGTGAGCGGGTTAGCCAAGCTCTTAGACAAGGAAAATAAATGAGAACTGTAGCCCCAGCTGGTGTGGCTCAGTGGACAGAGTGTCGGCCTGCGGACTGAAGGGTCCCGGGTTCGGTTCCGGTCAAGGGCACGTAACTCGGTTGCAGGCTCCAGCCCTGGTCAGGGGCACGCAGGAGGCAACCCGTCGATGTGTCTCTCTCACATCAGGGTTTCTCTCTGTCCCTCTCCCTCCCACTCTCTCTAAAAAGCAATGGAGAAAAAACATCCTCAGGTGAGGATTTAAAATAAGTAAGTTAATAAGAACTCTATACATTAGCAAGGAAAAGACACATTCGTCATGATGTTTAGCGGTAAAAGTTCAGTGTCAAAATTCCAAAAGAAGCAAAGAACAGCAGAGCTAAGAGAAACCGCAGTGGCCAGCTATAGGGTAAGCCGCAGACGCTGGGAGCTTGCCCAGGCCCAGCGAGGACGCAGGTCGCGTCTCTGTGCTCGGGAACCACAGGCGCTGGGTGACGAACCTCGGAGGAGAGCAGCAGCGGGGCTCACTGTCCTCGGGGCGCAGGCCTGTGCAGCCAGGGCAGCAGTGGGGCTCACTGTCCTCGGGGCGCAGGCCTGTGCAGCCAGGGCAGGAGCGAGCCTGGGAACTGCAAGCCGCCGGCTTCCAGGCAAACCTTCCCCGAGGCCCCCCAGCCAGGTGCACAGGCAAGGCCCTCATGTCCCGCACCCCCACCGCCACCTGAGCTGGTCAGCTGCGCACAGGCCGCTGGCCCCGGGGTGGGTGGCTGTGTCACTCCCGGAGGCACGGCAAGGCCAGGGGTGGGGAGTGACGGGCTCTGAGCTGCTGGGGCAAAGGCTGCCTCTCTGCCCCGGAGACCCAGCCAAGGAGCAGAGACCATTTAGTGAGAGAGCAGCACCCAGCACACCCGAGGGCTCCCTCCACCTTGTCCGGCCCCACCTACCCCCCCCCCCAACTTAGCAGGGGTGGGCCCAGCACACAGTTGAGGGGAGCTCGGAACAAACAAAACCTGGGGTGGCAAACCCTGAGGGTCGATGGGGCCCGCGTGCAGTGTTCCAGGCCTCCTCTGCCCTCCGAGGCACACAGGGCCTTGCCGGGCCTTGGGGGGGCGGGGGGGAGGGGGGGGATGTGGCGTCACCGGCAGAAGTGCTGGGCCCTCCGCTAGCTGAGGCGGGGGGAGCGGGGAATGGCAGAGTCTGAAGGTCTGGGCTGGCCTGGGCGTGGCTCCCACTGTTTCAGCCTCATAGGACCCTCCACCCCCCAGCCTAGGGCTCCAGGGGTCAGTGTTATGTGCAGGAGGTGGGTGAACAGAGGGTGGGAGCAAGGGGGACCCTCCCAGCGCTGAGGACCAAGCCTGAAACCCCAGCCACTCATCAGAGGCCTGAGCAGGCGCCCACGTCCGGGCCATGCGTTCCTCGTGGGCAGGGCCCCACCTGAATCTCACACACTCACACACACACACACACACACACACACACACACACACACACCCGCCGGGCTCAGTGCTGTGGGGAGTGAAGGGCCTTGAAGGGGAGCGAGGACCTGTCACTGGGGAGGCCCCTCCGCGAGGGTGTGGACAGGAAAAGAGGGCTCGTCCCCGATGCCGTGTCCTCGCATGACCCTGAATCCACCCCACCCTGGCCCCAGAGGAGGCCGAGGTGCTGCGCTCCTGGCTGTGACTCAGCGGAAGGAAGACAGGAAGGGGGGCGGGGTGGGGCGGGCTGGGGCCCTGGGGCTCTGCTTCTCATTTCTGTTTCCAGAGCGTAGCCAGTTCCCAGAAATGAAGGCACTAGAGCTGCAGCAAGCCCAGCTCCCAGGGCCCGGGTTCCGCAGGCCCCAGGGAAGCCCCCGGCCCTGTCCTCTGCGTGGGGACTCTTCCAGGCCCAGACCGGTGGCCGAGTGCCGGGCGGGCGGTCCACCAGAGCCAGGAGCGGGCGGGAACTCAGACTTTCCAGGAGCCTGCGGCCCAGACTCCTTGCTGGGACACGCCTCTGGGTGAGAGGCGACACTGGGAACCTCCAGGACGCGTAGGGATGGAGCAGTCAGGGCAGGCTTCCTGGGGGAGGCAGAGGCTACCTACACCAAGGACCTGCGAGTGGCATCCTCAGGTGCCCCACAGGAGTCTCCCCCCACCCATCCACCCCTCCCTTTCCTTTCCTCCTCTCCTTCCTCTGTCTTGCTCTCTTTCATGTACTTAACTATTGAGAAAAGCCCCGTTGAAAAACACCACACAGACTCGAAGGGGCACACCACCGAGCCGTGACGCAGAGGCCCCCCCCCCCATGTGTCCGGAGCTGAACTAAAGCCCCCGCGGTCCCTGCAAGGAAGGGGCGCAGGGAGGCCTCCGGACACGCTGCCTCCAGCGGGAACCGCCGGGTGACCTGAGACCGAGGTCCCAGCCCAGCGTGCGCACTGCTGTTCTCCCTGACCCACTTCCGCCAAGAAAATGCTGAGAACTGGAACTTATGAGATGCATTTATGTTTAAGATGATGCTTTTATCTTTTTTTTAAAAATACATATTTGAGTTCCACAGGAAACTCACTTTGCAAGAGCAGAATCCAGCCCAGCCAGTGTGGCTCAGTGGTTGAGTATCGACCTATGAGCCAGGCCCTCACGGTTCAATTCCCAGTCAGGGCACAGGCCCGGGTTGAGGGCTGGATCCCCAGTGTGGGGCGTGCAGGAGGCAGCCGATCCATGATTCTCTCTCATCATTGATGTTTCTATCTCCCTCTCCCTCTCCCTCCCTCTCTGAAGCCAATAAAAATATATTTTTTAGAAAAAAGAAAGAGTGAACTCCAGGGCCCTGGGGCTGGGCTGGGTTGGAAGGGCCGCTCTCTGCGCAGGCCGAGGGGCGCTGGGCAGCTCCAGACAGAGAGCGCCTTCCGAGGGCACCGGGCGCATCCACCTGGCGCTCCTTCCGGACGCCTCCCGGCCTGGGCACCTGGACCGCCCCCTGGGCAGGACCTGCAGGCTCCGGGCCCCGCGCTGCGCTGCGTGGGACTCACCTCACCACCGTCAGCTGAGAACTGGAGTTGGGGTCTGCCAGTCCCTCCCACATGCGGAGTTCCTGAGAGCCCCCCTCTCCCCGCCAGGGCTCCGCCCGCCCCTGCTGGGCCTGTGAGAGTTGGGTGGGTGCCCGGGGCAGCTGGGAGGGGAGGAAGCTCGTCTGCTTCATGTCCGGTGCTTTCGGATTCGCCACTTTCCCCTTTGCCCTGGAAGCCAAGTGGGCTCCGGGGGCTCCGGGGGTGCCCACCTGGGTGTGGAGGCGCCCTGGGAATTGAGCCCTGGGCTGCAGTTGCCTCAGCCTTATGGCCCGCTCACCCCCTTCCAGCTGGGATGTCAGAGGGGCTCAAACCCTAACGTGGCCACTTCCTGGTTGTGTGACGTTGGGCAAGCCAAGCCTCAGTCTCTTCATCTGTCTAATGGGCCGAGGAAGGCGCCCTTGCCGGGCAGAGCGTGCGGCCCCTGCACCAGCTTAGCCATGGAGATGCCTGCTTCCTGCTGTGGGCGCGCCCAGGCCTGGGAGAGGCCTTCCCACCCCACCTCCAGGGCTGCCTCTGGGCTGCGTCCCCACACGGTCACATCTGACTCCAGACGCCCCCTCCATGCCCTCACCCTGCCGCTGGGATGTCCTGAGGGCACCCCACACTCTCAAGCCGCTGGGACCCCTCATCTGGAGTGAGGTCCTGGTCCCAGCCTGGATGGGGCAGGGTCAAAGGTCCCAGTTGGCCACTTCCGCTTTGGGGACCATGAGGCTGAGAATCCCAAGAATGACCCCAATTCTATCCCAGCTGCTCAGCCCAGTCCAGGCTTGTCGCAGGGGCTGGCACTCCTGGTGGCTGGAAGGAGCCGGACCCTCCCCAGCTCACATGGAGGGGCCAGGCCCAGCAGCTCAGCTGTGGCACCTGCTCACCCTCACATGCCCAGGGGTGCTGGGCCAGCCCCATGGCTCCAGGGGCCAGGACCAGGCTATGAAGGTGTGGGTGGCCCCCGGGCCACTGAAGATGAATGGAGTCCCAGTCCCCACCCACTGCCAGTGCCCGGCCAGCCTCTCTGGGGCCCACCCCTGGCCGCCTTCGATTGTCTCACTCCAAGCATTGCCCAATTCTACCACATGTCAGACACTCGGGGCGGGGCCTGGCAGCTGGGCTTCCAGGTGGCGGAGGGTCCCCCCGCCCCCGCCGTCTTGCCTCTCGGAGAAGTGATCCAGGCAGCCTACTGTGCTCCTCAGAGCTCTTCCAGCCGCTGCCCACTTCCAGTTCCCACCCCAAAGCCACTTCCACCTCCTGGTGTTTGCTGCAGCGACACTGCTTCCGGGGACCACAGTGGACATTCGTTTCCTACGGCGGCTGTAACACGTCACCCCAAGTGCGGTCTGAACGCAGCACGCGTTCATCCTCTTACAGGGCCGGAGGCACCGAGTCCGGTCAGCGGCCGTCAGGGGCAGGCAGGGCTGCATCCTTTCTGAGGCTCCTCCCTCCCTCGTCTCTCCCAGCACCTGGAGACATCTGCGTTCCCTCCATGGCCTTTCCTCCGGCCATGCATCCGTCCCACCCGGCTCCCACCCTCTCATCTCCTCTCGCTCTGACAATCCCTCCCTCTCCTAGGACCTGTGATCACACCGAGCCCCTGAGCAATCCAGGATCATCTCCCACCTCCTGACCCTCTTGCAGGGGAGGCCACATCCGCAGGCGTGGGGATTGGAACGCGGGCATCTTTGAGGCCACAGGAGCGGCAGGGCTGCTTCGCCAGTCCCAAGCCCTGTCCAGAGGGCTTGTCCAGAACTGAGGGGCCATGAGGGATGATCAGGCCACCGTCCTGGCCCACACGCTGGCCGGAGGCTGGCTGGGGCCCAGCGCTCCCGGAAGCCTGGCGCCTCCCCTGCGGTCGCCAAGGACAGCCTGTGCTCCTGGCGAGGCCCGTGCCGACAGGTGCACTCGGGCCTGGAATGGCCAGGCCTTCGCGGCCTCCCCTCCCTGCTGACGGGACTATGTGAGCTGCTGTCGGGTCAGAGATGAGCCTCATGGAAAGTTCCAGCTCCGCTCTAGAAACAGACTGGTGTGACACGTACTGGTGTGACACGCACTGAGCGCGGGGTATGCCAGGCCCGCGTGGAGCCCGAGGAGACAGCCAGGTTTCCAAAGCCGGGGGCCGAACACCCGCGGTGCTGGCGAAGCTTGGGCCAGGGGCTGGCGGGGAGAACAGAGGTCCGGCGGTGTCCCGAGGTGAGCCTGAAGGAGTGTGATTCAGATGGCAGGGGGGGAGGGGGGGGGCAAGAGCGCTGCTGACAGACGCCTGGGCTGGGCGAAGGGAGGGAGGCATGGCTTGGGAATGGAGCTCTGCAGTAAGGCCCGCGTCTGGGGCAGCAGAGAAGAGTCCAGAAGTGGCCTGGCCAGCGTGTTAAGCAGTTAGAACGTCAGCCTGTGCACAGAGGCTCACGGTTTGACTCCTAGTCACTGGCACATACTGGGGTTGCAGGTTTGATCCCAGCCCGTTGGGGCAAGTGTGGGAGGCAACCAATGGATGTGTCTCTCTTCCTCTCTCTCTCTCTCTCTCTCTCACCAGCCCCCTTCCACTCTCTTTAAAAAAATCAATGGAAAATGTCCTCGGGTGAGGATTAACAAAACAAACAAAAAGAATCCACAAACGGCCAGGGTGCCAGGGATGGACACCCGCAGGGCTGCAGTGACCTAAGGCTGGCCGGGCCCTGTTCTGCCAGGAGCTTGCACAGAGCGCCGAGGGCCTGGGGCGGGCCGGGCCTTTCCCAGCACCTCCTCCTCCTCCGCCTCTTCAGACCTGGGCTCTGCAGGCCACTGACCCCCGTGCGGTCACGGGGAGCGGCCAGGGTTTAGGGCAGGGATTTGGGAGTTACGGCCCTGGGCCCAGGTGAGAGTGGGCGAGAGCAGGAAGGGTTCAGTAAAGCAACCAGATGCATCCCGCAGACAAACCCATGGGCAGCTGGGAGACAGCCGACTGGGAGGCGGTCTGCTTCCCCAGCTGTCAGAGGGGACAGGCTTGTCTGCCCCGAGCACGCCATCAGACCCCGGCGCCCTCTGCCCACGCAGGGCTCTGCTGGAGGGTGGAGTGGGCAGCAGACACGACTCTCAGGGGCCACCTCGGCCTGTCCCGCCTCCAGGGCCAAAGGAGGCAGCGTCTCTAGCTCCGGCTCCAGGACAAGGCGGGGAGGGGGGGCAGCGCGGAGATGGGCGGTGGCCTGCTTTCCCCGGGCTGGAGCCACCAGGCTGCTCTGGTCTGGACCTCAGGGCTCTGCGCCCTGTG